CATAATGGCAGTCCTACATCCATAAGTTATTAATGTTCCATTATATTAGTACATTTGGGAAAGAGACTTTCTAAAACAAACTGAGGCAGAGATACACATTCCCATTTCTAATGCTACCTATTCTTCACAAGATCATTGGCTAATGAAAAGAATGGGATATCAAAAAGGGATCGGACTAGGAAGAACTACAAGGGATTGTTGAACCTACATTCACACAAGGACAAAAATCATAAACAGGGATTGGGTTTTTCATAAAAGCTTTTGAAAAATACCACCTATAAAAATTATACAAAAATCTAGTGAGCCTGCTTGGACACCTCAATGTCCCTTTCCTAAAGAAAAGTTGCAGGATCTTCACCAGTTAGCCAGAGAACAAATGGAGAACAGACACAAAGGACCCTCCTTTTCTCCCTGAAACTCTCCTGCTTTTGTAATTTAAAAGAAATATTTTAAATGGAGATTGTTGATTGACTTACAGAATATTAATGCCACCATGTGGTCAATGGGAGCCTTACAGTCTGGTTTACCTATGCCCACAGTTATTCTTAAAGATTGGCCTTTAATAATTTTGTATTTAAAAGATTGCTTTTATACTATACACATTCATCCTGATAAGGAGCATTTTGCCTTTTCTATCCTCTTACTAGATCATAAATAACCTCAGCTTTGATATCAATAGACCACACTACCTCAAGGCATGAAAAACTGCTCTATTATGAGTCAATACTATGTAGGAAAAATTGTAGAGCCTATGAGGCAGTCTATCCCTCGGATTATATTATTCATTGTATGAATGATATTATATATTAGCCACTTCCTAAGAGAAAGAGCAATAGTTCATATACAAGAAGACTCAGGGTATGCTACATAAAAATGGGCATATTATTGCAACTGAAAGACAAAGATCAGAAACTGTGTAATATTTGGGACAACTAGTTACTAGAACAACTGCTAAGCCACACCCCCCAAAATGTCCATTTGGCAAGACAACTTAAAAACAATGACTTTCAGAAATTACTAGGGAACATTAATTGGCTATGTCCCATTTTGGGAATACCTAATTGTCTACTAACCAATCCACTTAAAACTCTAGAAGAAGAGGTGTCATATAGTCCTCGCATATGATCTTGAAAGGTAAAGGAAGAACTACAGCTATTTGAATTCAGACTAAACAAGGCATTTGTGTATCCTCTGAATCCTTCACTTTCTTTACACTTACTTATTTTTTTCCCACTAAATTGTCTCCTACAGATATTATAGCACAATAGGATAAACCTTTGGAATGAATTTATTTACTACACAAGGCCATAAAATACTAACTTCTTAGCTTACTGTTCTTGCTCAATTAGTAAACCAAGGGAAGACCAGATATAAACAATTATATGGATTTGATCCATGTGGTACTACATTTTTTTAACTAACAATAGTTTTTAAGATCATTATAGGACTCTATGGACCCAAATTTCATTTTCAGATTACCATGGAAGGATAGGAAATCATTATCCAGCTGATAATCTATAGGATTTTCTCATATGAACCGAATTTGTGATTACAAAAATTGTTCAACCTTCACCCATTCCACAGACAGATACTTATTTTATTGATGGCTCATCTAAGAGTACAGGAGAGATTTATGGTCTAGAAATTCATCACTTTATTAATACTTATTTTTCCTCAGTCCAATTTGTGGAATGGCTATTTTGGTTCATCTATGATGGTTAATTTATAAATGCTTAAATATTATTTCAAATTCTGCTTATGTTGTAGGATTATTTTCAGCAATAGAAACTGCTTTAATTTCATTTTTTCATTCTATTTTGCTCCCATTGCTACAGAAAGTACAACATCTGGTTAAAACTAACATACATCTTTTGTTTATTACTCATACTTGTGCACACACTAACCTCCCTTATTTTATTGCAGAAGGAAACAATCAAGCTGATGTATTAACCTGCCCTAATGGAAACATCAATAAGAACACCTACACACTAACAGATTTCATGTACAATACCATATCCTGCTTGGACAAGAGAGACAAATTGTGCAGGAATATCCTATCTGTGCTCCCTTATTCTGTCATGGTCGGATAGCTGGAGTTAATCACAGAGGTAAAATTGCTAATGAATTCTGGCAAACGGATGCTACTAACTTTGGTTTTGTGCCCCGGATGCCATACCTGCATTTTTGCATTGATACATATTCTAAATTTCTTTGGACTGAACCTAGCTACTAACTACTCAGAGAATTCTTCTGCAGTATACTTTTTTCTTATACAAACTTTTGCTGTTACAGAAGTACCTACTTCTATAAAAATGGACAATGGACTAGCCTATAGTATTAAAAAAAATAAGAACTTTTGTAAAGAATGGAATATTGATCATACTACAGTCATTCCTTATTATTCTCAAGGCCAGGACATAATTGAAAAAGCACATAGAATATTAAAATAACAATTATTTTAAAAAATTTAAAAGGTCAGCACCAAGGGATCTTCTTGCACTTTATTTACTCTTAATTTTTAAAAATTTTCTCAAGGTGATATGTTTGAGAGCTCCAGAGAACATTCTGAATTGCTTTCAAACAGGCCTGTGTGCACTTCAGCATCCACCATTGCAGATGGACACACTGATACACTATGATTCTGCTTTAGCTCTGCAAATCCCAGGCCATCAAGAACAAAAGAAGAGGGCAAGGAGACAATAGGAAAGATAGCAGAAATCACTAGAAAGAGAGCAAATCTACAGCTAACGGGCAGTCAATCATATCATCAAAAGTCAAGTCTGCCCATCTGGGGTCAAGTTAAGTTACTTCACGAATGACTAGACCTTGGGACCATAATACACTGATTCATTCATCTGAAGGACAGACTGATTCTAAGTTTTCCTAGGGATTTGAATCTCTTGGCATTTGCACAGGACCTTACAACATTTGTATTCCTATTAGATATAAATGTGTACTTACTTTCTACAAGATAATAGAACTAATAATCATATGGGTCACTTTTCAAGCTATTCTCTAGATTTTTTTCTGATCAATATCATAATGTAAATAATAGTACTGGATGTAGTATGGATCTTTGTTAGAGTATAACACATAATGTTTTCACTAGTCTAATATTATCATTGTGTTTACAATTTGCTTGCTTATAGGATACTCATGCATCAAATGACAATTAGATTTATCTATAATATCTCAAATCAAAACAACTCTAAATAGCCTACTATTAAAAAAGTTTTAAAAATGGGGACATGTCAGAACACAGTCCAGGAATGGAGTCATGAAGGGGAGTTTTGAGTGCTTGTACTAAAATTACAAGAAACAAGAAAAGAGCCTTGTGACCCCAGTTTCTTCAAAACACAGAATTGTTCTTGGAATGTGCTTTTGTGCCCCTCCCTAGTGTAGTGGATAATAGTGAGTTCACTTCATATTATTCATTATTGCTGCTGTTGTTATTCAATTAAATATTTAAACTATCCTTTATATGCCTCTAGGGAAAAATGTTTTTGCCATGTGTGGCTTGTCCTTGTGATTGTATACAACTTGAACTCATGAGAACTTTCCTCATGTGACAACTCTTAACCCTCAGAGTACAAACTGTCTGAGGAACTGAATAAACTTGGCTACTGCATGAGACTTTAGTTCACCTCATTTATCAGCTCCATTCTCCCATGTCCCACCACCTCTAGAGCATTAACAATGTAAAGCTAATAGAATTATTTGCAATCATTCCTCTGCTATATAACTTTTCAGTCAAAACATCAAACTACTGTTTACACCCAGGGGATTTAATGACTTATGCAACTTAAAACAGACTGATTTTTAAATAGGTATTCATACCGTCATAAATCCATCCAGCAAACCTGAGTCGGGTTTTGGGGGTGCCTGCAACCGTTCCATAGACCACTTTTCAATGATGGAGGAGACTTGGGTATTCTCTGTATTTAGTATTCTGAACCCTGTCATATTTACGCCACTGTATCTGTAGGGCTCCACATCAAGAGCAAAGAGATCCTGAAACAGAAATTTCCTTGTGTTACCGAAAGCAGACTTTATTCACAAACTTACAGTGCTGAAATCATCACTTCTTACCTTCCTCAGGAAACTTAGAGCAGTGCATCTCAAGTGATGTCAAGCATTAAAAATCAATTAGATCCAAATCAACTACCCTCATGTTTAGCAAGGCAAATATGTATACTCTACACATGAACACAAATCTATTGACTGCATTATAATTTAAGCAACAGAATAACATACATTCTTTCTCTAACATACATTTACTATTTTTATAATCTTTCTTTTGTTGAGGATAGTTTGGCCTTATATTTTAACAGAAGTATTTTTTTCCTTTGCCCTGCTTCTTAACCAGTTAGTCACATTTTATTTTTGTTTTTGTCTGGGTTGCTTTTTGTTTGTTTGTTTGGTTTTTTTTTGTTTTGTTTTTTTTCTTTTACTTTGTAGAAGCCAAATATGAAATAATGCTCTAATTAATAATTATATGAAAGATGAGAAAAAGTTGTTAACATTACTCATCTTTTTGGCTGTAGGAAATTTGTGCTTCCTTTGTTGCAAAGGCCCATCTGGAGCCTCACCATAATGTACGTTGTTTCTGTTGACTTCTACAATGTTCACCATGAAAACTTTTGTTTTGCCTATTAGTTTTCCTGGGAGACATGAGGCCAAAGCTGTCAATGAAGTTGACCGTCATATGGACACACAGCATTAGAGACTTCCTCCACTTTCTAACTTCCAGGAGAAAAGCTCTTCCCAGGCGCACTGAAACCCAAGGCACATGAATGTCACTGATCCTGTGTACACCTTGCTTCCTACTCTGCTGTACCTTTTAGGGGGCAGGCATAAAATACAGAGGAAAGCAACTGGCATTGTCCTGTGTTGTACACTTCCTTGCAGAGGAATCTTTACAATTTTAGTATTCAATTTATATGATCTATCCAAAGAGATGAGATATACTTTACTCAAGAAGGAAACAGCTTTTCACCAAGATGGCGCCGAAAGCAAAGAAGGAAGCTCCTGCCCCTCCCAAAGCCGAAGCCAAAGCGAAGGCCTTGAAAGCCAAGAAGGCAGTGCTGAAAGGCGTCCACAGCCACAAAAAGAAGAAGATCCGCACGTCACCCACGTTCCGGCGGCCCAAGACCCTGCGGCTCAGGAGGCAGCCTAAATATCCTCAAAAGAGCGCACCCAGGAGAAACAAGCTTGACCACTATGCCATCATCAAATTCCCCCTGACCACTGAGTCAGCCATGAAGAAGATAGAAGACAACACACTTGTGTTCATTGTGGATGTCAAGGCCAACAAGCACCAGATCAAACAGGCTGTGAAGAAACTCTATGACATTGATGTGGCCAAAGTCAACACCCTCATAAGGCCTGATGGAGAGAAGAAGGCGTATGTTCGGTTGGCTCCTGACTATGATGCTCTGGATGTTGCCAACAAAATTGGGATCATCTAAACTGAGTCCAGCTGGCTAATTCTAAATATACTTTTTCACCACAAAAAGAAGAAGGAAACAATTAATGTATAGCAATATATATCAAGAGAGAAAATATTTAAAATGATAAGGGAATTTGAAGTTAAAAACAAATAAGCCACTTGGTGATTTTTATTGTGAATGATATTTCACATAACAGGATCTAAGTTGTAATGTGGCTCAAACCACTTTACATAAAATATGGAGGCTTAGCATCCTGAGTATTTTAAGATAAAGGAAACAGAAAAGTATAGAAGCAAAAAGTTTACTCTCTGACCTTCTCTCAACTTTCTCTCCCAGAGTGGGGCCATAAAAGAACTCCTTTAGTCTACATCCTTTAAATATAGGTTATATGAGCCTCTTTTGTCTACCACACAGTATCTCACTGTTGGAGCAGCAATCCCAGACAGTGAACAGGGCAAAATGCAGACTCATGGCTGCTCAAGGTCCTAGAATAGGTGACTGCTGAGGGTTTAGTGTTAAACAGGACATTTATAATATTTTCTCTAAAAGGAAGAGAAAGCAGAAAGAACAGAGGTGGAGATAGAGTGACAGGTTGTAAAAATGTTAACTTCAAGGCATGGCACAGGCATTGCCAACATGATCTCAGCAACTGTCTTGCCTACACGGGGCCTGCATAAGATTCAAGCTGTCAGCAACCAATCATAAACATGGACTATGGGGCCCTACCCTTCCTGTTGATCCATCGGTTATTATAGATTCTGAGGGATAAATAGTCATTGTTTTTTTTAATTGTGTACCAAACAGTGAGCTTACGAGGTCCCAGTGGGGGTTCCCCTCACTGACACTCATATGGTCCTAATTAAAGTCCATAGGTCACAAACTAAACAAAAAGACACAAACGTGAAAAAGAGACCTGCATAGAGGAGGACAGGGCACGACAGAGTGGGAAGGAAATAAGAGAAGGTGGTGGTGAGAATAAACAGAATGCACTATAAACATTTGTGGATTTTTCACAGAACAAATTTAATAAAAAAATGTGGAGGGAAGTCTTTCTTTCCAGAAAATTGCTGGCCAGTATTTGAAAGTTTCTCAGTTCTAGAGAATCTGAATAAACAGATTTCTCTATTTCACCTAGTTTACCTAGATGATACCATTTTTATCCAATCATATTTACAAACAGCTATCAACTCTTCAGCAAACCACAACATAAAAACAGAGAGCTCACTCTCCCTGTGACCACCATGTCAGTAACAACAGCTTAGCAAAGAACATAAATATTTTTGTCCAGTTATCCTGTCTTTTGCTCAGATGGGTCTCAACCATGTACTTTGGAAGATAAAGAAATCTGTCCTGCATCACCTCACATGCATCTGTCTTTAAAGAATGACCAGGATATTGATAAAGTCAAGGGCATTCAACATATAAGTAGAAATAATAGTGAGAAAATATAAAGTGTGACTCCTATGACAAGATTGACTGAAATCAATTTGATTGCAAAAGAGACTTCATAAAAGAGATTCAGAGCAAAGAAAATGGAAAGTTTGGGTTATAGTTAAAGAAGTCCATACCTTTAGTTACAGGCTAATTTGTTGTAACTATCCTAGAATACATGTTTTATTCTAATCTTAACTATGAGATATGATTTTTTTCAAAATTTTACAGTTATGTGGAATCAAGTTGCAATAGCATTATGTGGAAACATGTGATAAGGAAAGGTGATCACGCCATCTTCTCCACCCTACTACCAGGCTTCTGATAAACTGTAAAAGCCATCAAGGAAGAGGTGATGCACCAACACAGCAGACCCAGCGCTGGTGCTTGTGTGTAACACACAGCCAGCAGTGCAAAGAGTCCTGCCTGGAGGTATCGTTGTTGCTCAGAAAGCTACTGAGAACAACTGGACTTTAATAACTGTAAAAGCAAGGAAAGTAATTTCAACACTTTAAAATAAATAGCAAGAACATGTCTGGACTGTTCACCAATGGAAGAGAAAAAAATTCTGCTAGGGAAACTATAGAGAAAAGTGGAATTTTATGGATGATATAAGAATCAATAATACTTAAAGTTTTGAATGAAATAAAAAAGGAATTGATTTGGGGAAAATAAATTAAAATTTAATTTTTAAAATTTATATCAATACCACATATTTAGAATTGAACTATAATAACCATGAAAATTATACACATGCATTTAGTCATTATCTAAGCAAAGGTGATAACTGATCATTGAAGATATGAAAATCTTAAGGCAAAAGGAAAACAGGATGCAGGCTGAAATTGAGAAAGAAAGGATTAGTGAAAGAGATAGAAAGTTACTTCACAGTAGAAATCAGAACCGTAAACTACATGGAGAAAGAAATACAAGTGAAGCGTGGCCTGGAGAAGCACACATATAATCCCAGCAATCACAAGACACAGGCAGGATTGCAAGTTCAAAGACATCCTGGGCTGCACTGCACTACAACAGAGGGAAGGGAGCGAAGGAGGAGGGAGGGGACAGAAGGGAGGGCAGTCAACAACCATTTATAAAGCAGCAAAGACAATTCCTCATGCATAATAAAGAAAATGTCATGGGTATTTAAAGATGAATTTAAGGTAACATACAATTTAATTATTGTCAATTAAGTCATATTGACCTAAAAAGTTACTAAACATGGACATTTAATCAACTGAAAGGGCAATTAGAAAAGCCTGATTTGCAAAACACACCCAAATCCAGCCAATAAACAAACAAACAACAAACAAAACAGAGCAGAGATAATAACATAAGACATAATGGCTGTCTAACAGATCGTTTTTCGTTATTTTAAATCCCTCTATTCCTTTAAAGTCTCTGGAGCCACATAAACAGACACAACACTTTCAACTGATAACTGAAATGATATTATTTCAAAACCATCAGCATCCCCTCAAGAGTTATTAGTTCTGTCTCATGATTCCTTACAGGTTGTATCAAAATAATATAAAGTAGAAATGTGCTATTCATTACATTATTTCTTCTCACTCAAAACCACATTTTCCTTTTTATGAGTCATGGTAATAAAATCTACAGCATTATATTTTATGTTTTAATAACTTACTTACCAGAGTAGTAAATATATAATGATAGTATTCTGTCATCATCCCCATAGCTAATGCCTAAGAGGTAAAGAATTAAAAGAAACAAAAATATTAACATTAAAGGTATACATAATATGAAATATATTATTTCAGTGACAGGTAATGATAAAATATACAATTTGATGAATAATTAACCTCAATTACTCGTGATACATGAAATTGAATTTTCACAGTAGTAAAAAAAATTAGTTGTTATTAAAAGGATGTTTGAACTAATTCTTCTGACAGCAAAGCTATTCCTTAAATGTTTGCAATGGTAAGCCTGATAGTATTACATTTTGACAGCATTAAAACTGATGTAAAACTTGATATTAGCACATGTCTGTTCCTTGTGTTTGCAATATACTCACTACAAATATCCTAGTGAGAGGCATCCTTTTATTTGATTTGCTTTTTTGAGATATTATCAAAAAGAGCTGCAAAGAACAATGTAAAATAGTGCCTTTTCTCAGCACCTGAGACATGATCTTAACATTAATGAAGGAAATGTTTATCATAACTTGTGAAAAATATGGATAATTAACAGAATCATTTGGCTTTATTCAAAGACCAGATGAAAATTACCGGTTTTGTTTCCCTTTTCTACAGCTCTTACCAATTTTGGACTGTCAATGATCTTAGATCAAGTACTTTTTGTATTAAAATTTGCAGTGATGAGAAATATGCCTGTCTTTTCACCTCTAAAAAAGAGGGAACTGAATAATAACTGACAGTGGGAACTGAAAACCCATGCGTTGTTTTAGCTGAAGGAAGAGCTCCTAGTTGGAAGCAAGTATTCTCATCTAATAGTCTCCCCGACACTATTAAAGATGCAAAAATCATTTGCTAAGTAGCTTTCTCAGCTACAACCTGTGTGCAATGAACAGGTAAGCTTCATAGACATCGGTAGGCATTCACCAATTAAGTAGAGTAGAAATTATAATTTTTAACATGAGTCATTCAGTAAAAAAGAATAGCCACTTCAAAAAATGAAACATATGTAATAATTAATTAATGCTTGGTAAATCAAAGACTTAAACACAGAAAAATTATTTAGGGTAAAAAGTCACAGATTTCTTTTTCTTGAATTAATAACAATTCTATAGCCTCTGGTCAAGTAACCATAAGAAAAATAAAGGGATATTTTCCTCATTAAACATTTACATTATCTGTTATGGTAGAGAATGTTTGCTGCCAACAAAAGGTGCAGAAGCCTGCTCTTCTCCACAATCAATCAATAGTATCCTTGTTTCTAAAATCATTTAGCTCAAAATGCGCAGAAATGGATAAAGAATAAGTAGTACAAATAAAATATCATTAATATTACTAAAGTATATAAAAAGTTAAATAAGTATACTGAATATTTAAACTATAAAAATGTTATAATGCAGGTTCAACTATTATATGCACTGACAGGAAACTAAGCCACAACAAAGATAAATTGCCCAACAGAGTAAAGATGAATTCATCTTTAGTATTTGGAGTCTAGAACTGACTAAAAGACATTTGGAGACATGAAATGTGAGAACAAAGTTCCTCAAGTCAATGAGCACCAGGTAAAATGTCTGAGAACTGTCTAGGCTAAATGCACATAGATCTTCATACTACAAAAGTATATTTATAGGTTTAGCCTGAAAGGAGAATGGCAACTACAAGACTGGTCTAGAAATTATGACCATTGCTGTCAGAAGGGAATGTTTCTCTATAAGACAAAGTCGGTTGTGGTCCTATTCTGTATATGGAATACAGGATTGCCACTAGAGATTTAAAAAAAAAAGAAAGAAAGAAAGAAAAAGAAAAACAGCAGCTTAACTCAGTCCAATTCAGCTTAAACCTGATGCACAGTTTAATGTTTCAGGAAACACATCCCACGATCATGGGTCTCTATTTATTGTGCCTCCCAACTCCATTCTAACCACCACAAACTAATGGTATTCAATTTGGACTTCTT